GAACTGACTATCCTTCGGATTTTTCGTTCACGCACAATCCTCAGTTCATTCAATCAACTCAGAAGTACTGCAGACTCTAGTTTCACTCTCCTTGGAGCTCATCAGTAGTGCATATCCACCATCCCGTCCGGATTTCGAACTGGGGACCTACCGCATGGAAGGCCTATGCGTCACCAGAACTGAACCGAATTACCATATCATGTTGAAGGATAGTCAGTTTCAATCAATATCAATTATCCCACACCATTATTCACCAGTACCAGTAAACTGCCCTGCCAAAGTAAGTCACCTCTACGCCGACACCACCTAACAAACCCGTCACGGTCCCCTAAGAGCTACTGAAAACAGATGAATAAAGCATCTGGTTTTTATGAACTATCCCCCGTGGTACTCAAGGTATGTGTGGACACACAGCCCCACTGTCTAAAATATTCAATGGCTGTATGATAAACGGAAAAGTTCCTGATATTTGGAGACTGGCCAAGATAACTCCCGTTCAAAAAAGGAACCTGGGAAATATAGTCCCATCGCCTGCACTTCAATCATGCTCAAATTATTTGAGAGATGCTTGATAACGTCGGTTGTCACTGAGTCTGCCGAAGACGACATACATCAGTTTGCCTATTGTTCTTCGCACCGAACACTTGATGCCGTTGCATACCTTGTTCATTTAATAATTTCACCACTAGATAAGAAAAGTACGATTGTCAGAATGGTGTTCTCGGATTACAAAAACGCTTTCTGCAGTCTTGATCGATCGGTATTGCTCAACCTGATTACCGAAAGCGGTGTTAACCCAAACGTTAACAGATTGATCCGCGTTTATTTCACAGATAGAAGGTAGTTTACGTGCCTCAACTGCAAAAACAAACTTTACTCGCCCAGTTGCTTCTGTTGTTCTGCAAGGTGCAACATTTTCCTCGTTTTTCTCTTCCATGTATGTCAAACAATTTCCCATTCCTCCTGCATTCATTGGCTGTAAATAGGCAGATCACATTGCTTTAGGTTGCAAAGCATCCACCCCCGAAGAGGCTTCAGCAATTCAAAGCAAGCTAAACGATATTGTTACTTGAATCTTGTCCCGTTCCCTCTCATTGCATGCCTCTAAATTTCCGGATGTTGTGCTTTCTATTTTGGCCTAAGTATTATATTCAGCCCTCACAGATAGGTTCCCGACCCACTCTGCCAATTTTGAGCCCGTACCGAAATCAACAATGGTAAAATACCTTGGCGTCACCCTATCACACAATTTATCATGGTCACTGCATGAACAAAACACATTCTGTAAAGTGAGAAAGCTTTCATATTTCTCACTCCGATTGAGATTACTTTCCGTTGCCCCAAAAGCTGACTGTTAGATTTGTGAATGCACGCGTGCTCTCCTACTGGCGATTTTTTCCCGGTATGTTAAAGAAAGTCTTTTATTTACTGGCGAGATCTCTGAAACACATCTCTAAATGCAGTGGCATCATCAGCGGAAAAACTCACAGATTCTGTCATGGACAGACACCTACAAGCGTGTGAAAATTTCACCACCAAATTACTCGGAAAACACTCACCACCCATTACAAAACGTATTTTCAAAACCGGTATCTACACCATCAACTTTTATTTGCACCTATCTGTTCTTAATCGTATTTCTGTTTTTGTCATATCCAGCACGTCTACTTATTGACAAGAAAAAAGTTTCCACAGAATTGCGCAATTGCTTGCTTGCTTCACTGACAAACACAATATCTACTGTTTTCAGTTTCATTATGTATGATTTTGTAAATTTAAATTCACCAATATGATGCAAATGCTGAAAATTCACTCATCCGGGTGTTTTAAGTTACTACTGATTTGAGTAAAATATGATCTATCAATTAGGCTTTCTCACTCACATTCAATAGTACTGAATGACCATCCACCCTACCTCTCTCTCATTCCTGTTTCAGTTTCCAAAAATCCGAATCCACCATCATCCGCACTAATTGACGATAACGAATATTCAATATCGGTGGAAAATGACATTGAAATTTGCGAACAGGAGCCTGTCAGTTTGACCAAACTTCCTACCACCTACTCTCCTCGAATGCATCGGAAAGCTCACGTGACAAATGTCACCGATACGAAAAATCGGCTCTCCCCGTCAAGCATTCAAACGCCTCAGTCAAATGAAGGCCCGAAACAAATGAAATATCAGGGGACTATTAACCCGAATGCAATAATAGAACAGAACTCACAACCAGTTTCGTCACTGCCGGTCAAATCACAACGAAAAGCCCGAAAACCATCTACGCAATATAAGTGCACTTTTAGACAGAAAAAATCAATCAACGTCATCCAATCACCACCAGCACCATCAACAGGATCACATCGAGAGCAGCAAAGGGATGTTACTCCACAACCTCAGCCTAAACGTTTGCTTTCGGAACGGATCACTAATTCAGGAAGGTCAAACAATGAACGTGCACAATTAATATTAGTTAAAGCAGCTCCGCCGCCGCCATCACCATCCCTATCGGCTGAAATAAATCCAATCAAACAGACAGTATCAGTAAAAAATGAATACACACACAAGCATATAGATATGTCACGTCATTTGCGACATCAGAACGAGAAATCTCACGC